TGCTCCGTGCGGGCTCGGGGGCCCTGGTCGGGTTGGGCTGGGACCGCGGCGGCCTCCTGGGGTGGTGCTGACGGGGCTGCCTCGGTCGGGACCGCGGGGGGCGCTCGCCCTCCCCCGCCGGGTCCGGCGGCGCCCCCAGCGGGAGCAGCGTCCTCCGCCCTTCTGCTCGCGGCCCTCAGGGACGCGAGGGAGCGGAACCTTGAGGGACTCGCATCCCCTGGGGCTGCCCGGCTTTCTGCCCGCCAGGAGCCCCGTGTCGCCTGCATGGTGCTGCAGAGTTCTGCGTGTGCTGCGTCGATCTGGGGCCGCCTGCTTTTTCTCAGCTCGTTCTCCTTTAACCGGTGTTTGTAGCACTCTGGCAAAGACTAAGTGAAATATCTAAGGCGACCAGAGTCCTATGGTGGAGAGGGGGGGGGACATTCGGCGTCTTGAGGCTGTGCCAGCCGCCCAGAGGCTGTGTGTGTGTACACTAGGGCTTTCGTTTAGGCTGTGAGTACCCTGGCTTTCAGCTTGGGCTTTGAATAGAGACGGATGTTTGCCTTTTGCTTCTAAAGCAAGGTGTGGAATGAAAGCTGAATCTTGGCAAATCCCAGTTGAAAAGAAGCCTATATTTAAAGCAAACGCTTTTCTGGTTCCTGACAAGGCCTGATTAAATGTTTAGCAGTGTATTTTTTTATTATTATTTTTAACTTGTGCTGATAAATAAGGCTTCTAGATTGACAGCACAGATATGTATTTCTGGTTATAGCTTATTCTCAGGTCAATATTTAATCAAGCTGTGGTAATATTTCAGGCCAAGCTTCTCCCGATTTTTATTCTTGTCGCACAACTGATTGAAGAGCTGTGGGTGGAAGAAACAAAGTAATAGTTTATTTCCAAACCACAACTTTTCCCCATGTCTGGGCTCCAGAACTGTGGGAAGCTATCCAGTAGATAACCCAAGGCAGCAGGTATTGGGGAGTTTAGTTTTAAGCAGTTTCTGACATCCTAAACTTAATCTATAATAAAAACTCCAAAGTCCCAGCTACATTTCACAGGAAGAAATTAAATATGATATATTCTTCTTTTTGTATAAAAGTCATTAATGGTTGTTATGAGGATGACCCTGCTCTAAGAGGGTGGAAAATTCCTATGCATCTAACCAGATCTGCCTCAGGGGAAGAACTGCCTTGCCTTCCTGGTGGTAGGTTTGCTAGTGGGTTTAGTTTTCTGTCTGTGGTCATGCTAACTCTGGAAAGATTTTAGTGCTGTTAGATGTTCTAGTTTGCTGTGTCTAGTGTGCTCATGCATGCAGTTGATCTGCCTGAGAAAAGAGGAGAGGAATAAATGTTTGTAAAGTTAACCTAACTTTTCATAGGTTAAATGTTAAAATTTCACCTCTTTATTTTCTATTAACATTGAATTAATTTAAGTTTACTTTGCCATAGCACATGTTCATTGCCCAAGTTCAAAGGTGCACAAAAGACCATAGCTTATGGAGTAAAAAAAGAATTATTGATCAAATGATTGGAGTAATAATTTGTATTCTGACATTTTCAAATGTTCCCTTGATATTCCGAAATATAACATTTTGAGCTGTCTCTGAATTCTGCCTTGCATAAAGCTTGGTTGGTTCATCCATATAATAACAACTGTATGTTTAGTCCCGCATAGTGAGCCATGAAGTTTGGATTACTCTTGCAGTGAGCAAATATAAATGCTAGGATGATGAAGAGGTATTGCAGCAATGTAACTCCCTATTTTTTATTTTTTATACATATATTAAAAAAAACCTCTTAGTTTCTATCTCCGATATCATGGTTTTAGTAAGGTAGTAATAGTATATGCCAAGGTTGTTCCCTAGTAAACTCTTCCTCTTTCTTGAAAGAAAGATTTCCATTCCTGTTTCCTTTTGATGCAGGCCTCTAATCTGTCAATATCAGAAACTTTCTATGTGAAATATGAGCAGGATTTAAAATCTTTTGTTAAAGAAACTGCAGCTATTGCTTAATCTCAGACTGACTTATCTAAGCTATGTGTTATGTGATCAGAAAGCAAAAAAAAAAAAAATTCATTGTATCATCCTGCAGAATGGAATCAGCTTGGGATCAAGAAAAAAATTTCAGACCATCCTATATTGTTAGTGTTGAACTACCTCAAAGAACGGGACCAGTAAATGTGGAAGATATTAAAGCAGATCTGTCTGATGAATTTTCTTTGGTTTCTTCAAGCTCAGACATAAGCCAGGTAAGAAGTTTTAGTGTTTGCTTTGCCTGATGCCCAAGTGAAAGTGATATTTAATTTGCTTTTATTCTAAAGGAAATAAATGGGAATAGGTGACGTTGTTACCATTGATGTGCATAAGGTATCAGCGCAATTTCTTGTGCATATGCTTAGTGCCGTTTTGGAGCAACTTAACCACTGAATGTTTTTATGGATTTCATTCATGGTTTACAACTGGCCTGAATATATTGTGTGTCCACTGCAAGACTGTTGTAAAATGCTAAGTTATTACAGTGGATTTCTGCATAAGCTGGAACACTTCAGCTGATAGTGAATTACTTTACTTTTGCTTCCTGCATCAAGTAAATCTAGCCTTGCTCCATACTTGGATCTGATGTAGTTAACACAGTCTTAACAAGCTGATTATTGAGCACAGAATCTAGTTGCATTGCTAGTCACTTCTTTATCTTTATTTTTTAGAGAAGCAGTTTGGAGTCTAAGGGACATATTCAAGTTTGTCTTCGTGTTAGACCATTCACCTCACTAGAAAAAGAAAATGAATATCAGGTGTGATTTCTTTAAATCTAAAAATACCTCAATCATTTTTGTTATTTTTCGGTCTGGAAGCTGAGGTCTTCATGGCTTTTTATGCTTGTATTTTGTGCTATCATTTAATAGGATTGTGTTTCACTTGAGGACTCAACCAGCATCGTACTGAAACCCCCCAAAAACTCTTTGAGTCGGCTTAGTGAAAAGACTGCTGGACAGCTGATACAGAAGTTCACTTTTTCGAGAGTAAAAAACTTGTCTTAATCTTTTAATTTCTAAGTGAATCGTTGAATTATTGTTGATTAATACCAAGCACACTAGAACCTTAAACTGTTCTTATACTCTAAGACTGTAAATGTTCTTATACTCTAAGACTGTAAATGTTCTTATACTCTAAGACTGTAAATGTTCTTATACTCTAAGACTGTAAATGTTCTTATACTCTAAGACTGTAAATGTTCTTATACTCTAAGACTGTAAATGTTCTTATACTCTAAGACTGTAAATGTTCTTATACTCTAAGACTGTAAATGTTCTTATACTCTAAGACTGTAAATGTTCTTATACTCTAAGACTGTAAATGTTCTTATACTCTAAGACTGTAAATGTTCTTATACTCTAAGACTGTAAATGTTCTTATACTCTAAGACTGTAAATGTTCTTATACTCTAAGACTGTAAATGTTCTTATACTCTAAGACTGTAAATGTTCTTATACTCTAAGACTGTAAATGTTCTTATACTCTAAGACTGTAAATGTTCTTATACTCTAAGACTGTAAATGTTCTTATACTCTAAGACTGTAAATGTTCTTATACTCTAAGACTGTAAATGTTCTTATACTCTAAGACTGTAAATGTATAGAATTTCTGTCTTATTAAATGTCTCTAATGATTACTAAAACAAAATGAAGATGTTAATCCATCTCTTGGTAATGCTCAGGTGTTTGGACCTGAAACAACTCAAGAAGAGTTCTTTGAAGGTACTATGAAGCAACCAGTGCAAGATTTCCTAGAAGGATATAATCGTCTTGTTTTTACATATGGTGTTACAAATGCTGGGAAAACCTACACGTTTCAAGGTATGAGTAGCAATGGTGGTGTTTCCCTCTCTTCCCTAATCCCTGAAAGGCATATGTGTTTGTTAAAATTTCTGTTATCTAGAGTGTATGAAGCTTTGCTTCAGGTGGTAGCTGGCCTACAAGTCCTCAGCTATGCCTTAAGATTGGAATCCTAGCTTTGTCTTCATTTTCATGTTCACCTTGTTCATGAGAGGTTTGGATCCTTTGTATTGCTGTTACTGTTGCTGTATCTGTTACTTACAGGTACAGAAGATGATGTTGGTATTCTGCCAAGGACTATGGATATGTTGTTCAAAAATATTCAAGGAAAACTATACACAGCAATGGATCTCAAACCGCACCGGTGTAGAGATTATATAAAGCTGACTAAAGACCAAGTGAGAGAAGAAACTGCTATTAAAAATTCAATACTTCGTCTAACCAAAGAGGTAAGAGGATTGCTTCATTCTCTTTCCATGAGTATGGTCATCCACAGACAGCTCAGTGTTCCCTTCTTCATTCTGCAGTGCGAAGACGCTCTCAGCTTTTGAGCGTGGATGCTTTGATTTGCTGTTGGATGCTTATTCAAATTAACAGTAGCAAAGTGAGCAGGGGAACTGCTCCTTAAACAACTGACTGCCTTCTAGGAATTCAAAAGCATGAGCATCTTTTTAAGGCTATTTTCTCTCTCTCCACCCCCGCTGTTTGGTATAATACCATTAAAGGAAGCTAAAAATAGAAGTCTTCTTGAAAAGAGAAGTAAGGCATTTCCCAATAGCCTGCTAGGTTTTATTGGGGTATTCTGCTCTTGTGTGTTGTAATATCTGTGGGTGTGGGTGTGTGGTGGTTCTTTTTTTTTTTTAAATCCATGATTTGAATGTTGACTTCTGCAGTGCAGAAGGCAGGTGGCAGTAAAACTCCTAGAAAAAAATACCTGTGAGAAGAAAGAAACAGAATTACCCCTTTGCTTTTTAATTTGTAACCTATTCATTGCAGCTAAGAATACTTACATCTGAGGTGTTGCTCATCAGAATAAATATAAGGCTGTGTTTTATTTCTCTAGATGCACTTTCAACTTTTTTAGTGATGAAACTCCAATGAGCTTAGTGGCCCATTTGGTACATCATTCAACAAGTATTAAAATGGATTTGTCACTCATGTTCACTTACAAAGAATCATTACTAAATCAGCAAAAGGAGACTTGCTATGCAGACTTTATCTTCATGTGGATGGAATGTTCTGGCTTCTCCCAGAATATGTAAACTTGCTTTCTCTGGTAAAAGTCTGATTTAGTCAGAAGATGCTTTGATTTACTTTATAGCAATGATTTGAGTTTGGGAAGCGAACACAGATTCATTGAGACAGATAAGATGTGTCGTACACGGAAAGCAGAACTTGGGATGGCCAATCCTGTCCTATACACTTGCAGGAACAAGCAAGAGTCACTGTTGGGTTTGCTTAAAGTAAAACTAGCAACTGAGTACATACATGAATCTCAATCTCCATATAGGATTTTTTTTTGAGCTTGGTGGAAGGTGACTTTTCCTCTTCAAAGCTTAGTCTTTATGATTTCAACTATGGAACACTTTTATAGTTGTGAGGCAACTAGTTGCTTATCTAAACAGTATATGAGCAAGTGTTTGAGCTTTATTGCTGTTTGAGGATTGAACTTGTAAGCCATGAGACCTGGAAGTCTTGAAATAGCAAAACAATAACAATTTTGGGAGACTCTAGATTTCTTGGGGAAGTTTAATGTGCAAACTGTAACTGGCCTATCAAAAATTGAACTGCTTCTGTGTGGCCTCCTGCCCTTCTGTTTTCTATAATCTAGTTTTCATTTGGATCAACCAAACTGAAATCATGTCCCCTGGGATAGGGCATGATGCAAGGGAAGTGTTGGGGATGGCAATGAGGTAAGTGCAGCCCTTTTTGTGGGAATGTGTGGGTGCACTGAAGTAGACAGTGTGTAGAACATAGATATGCCAAAGGAAAGATGCTGGCTAAGCTGTATAACTAAACTGTAGAACAACAGCTGTTATAGTGAATTGTTTTTACTGTTGTGATTGCATCTGAAAGTCTCTTTGTTCTTGTTTGTAGGTAGACCATCAATATAGCACTCAAAGCAAAGCACCACTTGATTCTAAAGGTATGTTTAATATGAAAGAATCAACCCAAACTGATAACAAATCACATGAAAACCTGGTGAGGAAAGGTATTTGCACTTGGACTGTGGTCTTAATGCTCCCCTGAGAGATTTATTTTAGCATTTTATTTACGTATAGAAGCTTAAAGCTCTTAATTTTTTCATCAAATGTCTATTTCGCTAAATATGTTTTAAAGTATTTTCTTTAGTCCCCTAATTAATGGAACTCTGTTTTGTTGCATTTGCAAGTGAACAAAGTGAGACAGTAGAATTTCTGTAGTAATGTAAGGTAAGCATATGACTTCCAGCTACTTGAGGAAGAAGGAAAAATTCCGGACTATTTTGTTTGTGGAATCTTTTTTTAGATGTTGCTGTAACATTTATGTTCAGTTATATCACTTTTGGGAAATAAATTCACTCTACAAAGTCCATACAGGTTTGTAACACTTTGTACTTTTTTGGCAGGTTTGAAAGAACTTGTAACAGAATCGGAGGAATCTAGCCCAAGTGGGGAGAATTGCATGAAATTTTCTGTCTGGGTTTCATTTTTCGAGATTTACAATGAAAGCTTTTATGACTTACTGATTCCAATATCAAATGACAAGAAGAGAAAAACACTACGACTTGCACAAGATGTCAAGGGATGTTCTTACCTAAAAGGTGATTAGAATATATTGTGAATACCCAAACTTGGCTGTGGAAACTTCTGCTTTTCTGAAATGAGATGTGTTTCTTTATAGATCAAAAAGTCTAAATGGCCTTTACTGTAGCACTGTAAACTTCTGTATTGAATATAAAAGGTGACAGACTGTCTAGAAATATTTGTGTGTATTTAAGTAATGTGCACATGTGTACATATTGTATTACACAATATAGTTCACCTTCCTTTCCCATGGGAGGTGAATATTGATTCTCTTCATCATATAGTTTCTATGTCTTGAATAGAATTTTCTGGGGAGGGGTGTGTGTGTGTGTACACTGTCTCCTGTTCCCTTAATCTTTGCTGACTATTTATAAGATTATCATCTTTCTTCTCAAAGATCTGCAGTGGGTTCAGATTTCTGATTCTAAAGAAGCTTTTAGACTTCTAAAACTGGGCTTGAAACACCAGAGTATTGCAAGCACGAAACTAAATACTACTTCTAGCAGAAGGTGAGAAAAACATTGAGTATATGGTGGTTTGGGGGGATGGAGAAACTTAAGATATAATTACCAAACTCTAAGTATCTTAGTATTATAGGCTTTCAGAATCAAAATCTATCTGACCCAATGCTTTGAGCCAAAAGGATTCAATCTTGCCACAAGATGAACGTGCATAAAAGCTAACAGCACTTCTAAAAATATTCTACAAGCAAAAACATTTGGCTTCCTTCTATTTAAATGTCAATTTCTATTATAATGTGAAAGCTTGATACTATACCCTGTGTAAAAAAGGAAAATACAAAAAACACTTTTTTTTAACACTTGTGATATTGAAACTGAATGAGTAACTACTTGAATATGCTGGCAGATTCTGTGAAGGCTTGAAGAGGTGTTCTAGTGACTAAAGACTTTTAAGATATTGGTCTTATTTCATCTCTTCTCAGCTGTCTTAAACTTTTCCTTTCAGTCACAGCATATTCACAATTAAAGTACTAAAGATTGAAGTTTTAGAAGCGCCACAAGTGACACGAGTCAATGAGTAAGTTCAGAGCCGAGTCTCCTTTGTTTCCTACATTGATGTTGCTAAGCTTCTACCATCCTCTACACTGGTGCAGTAGTACTGTGCTATATGTACATCACACACCCCCTATAGCGTGTCATGCACAAATAGTGGTTTCCCTGCTTTGTGAAGCTGTATGGTACTTGGTCCTCTACTGCAAGCCACCAGATAGTGCTGTTTCACATCTTTTTTTCTTTCATTCAGCATGAGATTGCTGTAGTAAACAATACTCCATTTCAGATCTTGTGCAAGTCCTCAGAAGGAAGATGATGTGGAAGTAGTATCAAAAAGGATGGGAGAGTTTGTGTGGTTGAATACCAAAAAAAAATCTTTTTCTGCAAAAACTAGTTAAAGTGAAAACTGAATAGTTAAGGGAAATGAACTTTTTAAAATTTCTTCAGATTGTCACTTTGTGATCTTGCGGGTTCAGAAAGATGTACCAGGACACGGAATGAAGGTGATAGATTGAAAGAGAGTGGAAATATCAACACCTCACTTCTGACTCTGGGCAAGTGTATAAATGCACTCAAGAATAGTCAACAGTCCAAGTAAGTCTTCAAAGAATTGCTAACTGTGGCTTTAAGTGTTGCATTTAACAGATTAAAAACTGCTGCTTAAAATAGATTTAATACAATGAGTTTTGGTGGGACAAGATGTCTAGACTTTCCAGATCTGGAAAGTCACTTTAAACATCAGTTTTGCTTTCTGTTAAATTATTCAAGTTCTAATGTGTCATAGACTTCAGTGATTTACTTTGTCTGTTCTTGAGTTTTACTTACCAAATAAACACTTATTTCAAATTTAGTTATGTTTTGGGAATTCCTATCTAACTTCCTATAGATGTTCAAATATCTGCCACCAGCTGTTAGTCAATGACACGGCTCCTGCTTGAGGAAATACTGGGGGCCAGAGAGATGTTTTGGGAAGAATTTCCATGTCTGGCTTGTATGAATATTGTTGTAGGGGCACTTGCTGTTGGCTTATTCTAGGAGTTCAGATAGGTCACAGACCCCTATCACTCAGTATTAAAACACTACTTGTCTAAAGCTATGTAGGTCCCTTTCAATAATGTAGTAAAGAAAAGAGAAGGTAGGATATGACCTACCTAAGGTTAAATATTGGATATACTTTTTGGATATACCGGATCCAAGTATTGAATATACTGATTGAAGTGGTTGCATTAATTGTATTACTGTAGCCTGTCAGAAATGATGATTAATGGCTAAACAGCAGTTTGTATAGCAGTTTAGATTACTATGCAACCTCTCTACAAATGTCAGAAGGCAACTCTAAATCATTTGAAGACTATTGCTCCTGTGTAGTTATACATATTTTGAATAGTTACTGGAAGCTGTCTAATTTATGATCATCTGTTTTTTGTTTTCTAAAGGTTGCAGCAGCACATACCATTTCGGGAAAGTAAACTAACTCATTTCCTTCAAGGTTTCTTCAGTGGAAGAGGGAAGGTACACATGATAGTAAATATAAGCCAATGTGCTTCAGCATATGATGAAACGCTCAATGTGCTGAAGTTCTCTGCCATAGCACAGAAAGTAAGTGTGCTATAGTTGTGGTGGTGATCGTACCCTTACTTGCCTTTAAAGGGAAGGGGCATTCCTTCTTAAGGACATGAATCTTCCTGCTAACTTTCTTTTAATCTCTTACATTGTAATTAATTTAGTGTGTGGATTTCTTGTTTGTTTTTGTCAGACTTGATTTCCTCATAAAGCTATTCAGTTAAGCTAGGGAGCACCCTTTTCGAATGACCAGAGCTTTTCCATATTAAAAAAATCCCTAATATAGACCAACTTAAATAGACTTTAGAAGTAGTTCTGTGTTCCTTTTCTTCTCCTAACATCTCCCTATTAGGGTGAGTAGTGTTGCTGTGTCTGAATGCTACTGCTATCCTGCTTATCTCGGGTACTGAGAAAACAAATTGAGCAGGAAAAAGGGTGTGAAAGGACCTTTTTGTCCTAAGGGGTTTTGGGTGGGAAGTGGAGATTAGCAGAATATGTAAGAGTGAATACAATGTGATATAACCCTAACAAAATTTGCTTCAGTCTTGAATGGAAGTAGTGGAAAACTGTTTGAAAGCTAATGTGGTTATAGAGGCCTTTGGGAGGTGGACTCATTTAAGCAGGTGAGAGTGAAACTAGAGGGAGAAGAATATGGGGTGGCATGATTGTGTAAGAAATAGGATTTGTAGGGTGACATTCAGTTGCTTGTAGCTAGGAGAAATATAAAATCCTTGTATAAGAGTTGGCAGCATTCCTGTGGGTTGCCCAGCTTGTGAAGGTTGGTGCTTCAGGAATAAAAGGACTGGATGCACAAATGACTACTCAGTATTCTAGCTTAAAACTGGTATAATGATGACTCTAAACAGCGTGCACAGGGAAGCACCCTGCGCAGCAGAGCTGTAGGGAAGCGCAGGTGTTTCTTGGAAGAGTCAGGCAGAGATTAAGAAATGCTGTTTTTTTTAAATAGTTGTTCTTTGTTTCCTGAGTAGGTTTTAGTTCTGGACAGTTCTATTCTTCCCCAAGATCAGTCATTTGGTCAGAAATCGGCAAGAGATTCATCACTTGGTGACACGAGAATACCGATAACAAGGAAAAGAGCTACAATACTTTGGGACAGAAGCTTGGAAGATCTGATTGAAGGTGATGAGATGGAAGAACAGCAGAGTACATCAGGAGAAGAGACAATACAGAAAGATGAAGAAAAAATCGTTATTGGAAAAGAAGAATACATGGTATGTGCCAGGTTTATCTTAAGCAAGAGTGTAGCACTGAATTTTAATTCAGTGCTATTTTTCCTGTTACCCTGCTTTTCTCCTGCTCCTTCCAGTCACCCTCATTTCCCTCCAAACCCAGAGTTGTGAACTGAAGGTGGAATTGCTCATGGCTTATTGTGGGAAGTCTGCATTAAATGCCTGTAAATTCAGAGTGGAGGAATGAGAATTCTCTGCTATTAGTAACTAGTGATTGCTACAGAGCAAGGAATATCTGCCTTTATGCAAAACAAGTATCTCTTTGTCAGTTTTATGTTAACAGAAATTCTGAAAATACTTGTCAAGTAACTGTTTAGTCTGTTTTGGACCAGTGCTTACTTTTAAAAGCCTTCCTAAGGAAGGCAGAAAAGGAGAAAATGGAGGGCTGGAGATGGTTCGAAGGTTTTCCTTAATATCGCTCAAGAAATGAGTACTTAAAAGGGGGGGGGCACTAAATCCTTTAGAACTTAAGTTTGACTTTTTTCAGATATAAAGCTCTAATTTTTGGAAGGAGGGAGGAAGAAAAGAGGAGGAAAGAAAAAACAAAAAAACACTTTGTTCCCTGTATTTGCCTGTTTTACAAGTTTGCACAAATTTTGTGCCAGTATCAAACAACACATTTTGATCTGGTCATGAATGGTTTTCTTCATCAGCTAGTGAAAGAAATGGAAAAGTAGTTCCCTCAAGATAAGAAAGTGTAATGTTAATGTTTCAGGAGTAAGGGAAATAGTCACTTCTGTGAAATGATTGCTTTAGGGGAAAATGTTAAAATACTAATGATAATTCCAGAAGCTGCTGAGCCTTATAGAAGACCTGAAGAACAAACTTATTGCTGAGAAGAAGGAAAAGCTAATGCTGGAGCTAAAAATTCGTGAAGAAGTGACACAAGAATTTACTCAATATTTTGGACAGAGGGAAGTGGATTTCAAGTAAGTTAACTTCAATACTTATAAATTTATAAGGATATGTTTTCTTAAGACTCTCAAACATAACAAACTATACTTTCTGCTAGAATTGACAGCTTGATATATCAGTTTATATTTGGACTACGAGTTCAAGAATATTCCTCAGTGTGTGTGCAATCCATCAGCAGTGTGTATGGTGGTGTGTGTGTGTGTGTTTTTCTTTTTCTTTTTCTTCTCTGGGCTGAACTGTGCCAGGGTAAGACCTTAAGTGTTAGTAGTCAGTGTGTGTGTACTTGTCTCCCCCATTCTTGAGCAGAAAATAATAAAGCAGGGCTGCTGCAATAGACTGGAAGTATTAGGCTACTGTGCCAAAATATAGAAGAACATTGGCTTTGCCTCTAGGAGGCCTTTTCTGCTAGTAAGTTCTTAACATCTCCAAGTAGTTTGTTTTTAGCAGATGGTTGTTCTTTCCTACTGCAGAGAGCGCCTTTCTCGTGAACGGGAACGGCTTGAAGAGGATTCTGAGAGACGCTTGGAAATCTTTAAGGAACTTGTAAATGGTTATACTAAAAGCCTCGATGAGGAAAAATTACAGCATCTCCCTTGCAATGAGCAAGCTGGGTCTCCGGTATTTTATTTGCATTTTGTTCCCTAAACATCTTGCCTTTTGCTAACCTCTGTTTGAAGGATTGTTTCAGGGAATAGCATATTCTATAATTATACTTCTGGACAAATAATACTTGTATTTCATTTAATAGGGGGAAGTATTGAGCCTTTAGCATATGCTCCAAACCTGCTGCACCTTCCCCTTCCCTTCCTTTCTTCCAATATTGTTGGATTGAAATGCAGTGACAATTACTGTATATAAAGAAATTAACAAGAAACTGCAAGTAACTGCTCTTATGGTATGACATATTGACATAAGTGCCTATTTAGCAACTTAGCATATGAAGGTTTTTTTTTTTTTTTTTTCTTTTTCTTTTTTCTTTTTTCTTCTCTCTCCATATATGACTGAGCCAAAGGGCTTCTAGATTGTTCTATTCCCCCTTCTCCCCTTACGGCTGTTGTAGCTACAACTAAAGCAATGAGATTTATATGTACAGTAGATCACTTAATAGCTACCTTGTTTCCACAGTGTTTAATGATAATGGAAATTGAGGCACAGGAAAGATAGAAGTTGATTATCAAATAGTACATGAAATAAGATGTTTTCACGTCAGTCTCAAACTCTTTATATGGTTGAACTCAAAAGGGTCTTCTAAAAGGATATGTATTACCTTTCAGCAAGGAGGGTGTAGCACTGTTCAAGACAGCTGCAGTGATCTTGAGGTCATTATTGATTCCCTGCAGAAGGATGTCATTGGTATTAAAAAGCAAGCTGAAGCAGCACACAGGTACATTGCCTCTATAGAGGATCCACAGGAGGCTATAGGCTGGTTTGAAAAGCAGCTAGGAAAGACTACTGCTGAACTAACTGAGACTAAAGAAGAGCTGGCAAACAAAACTACTGAACTCAGAAAAACTGAAGAAGAGCTCTCACAGAAAAACAGAGGTGAGTTGGACATAAAAGTATGCAGAAAGACAGGACAAAATCATAGAATCATAGAATGCTTAAGGTTGGAAGGGACCTGACTGAAATGTCTATAGAATAGAAATAGTGCTGATGTTTTGTCCAATTAAATTGCCTGGGAATCTGTTTAAAAATAATCTGTTGCAAGTTATACACAAAACAACCTGTTTTAATGTTTACTAAATGACTTTTGAAGTGTCTCACAAGTAGAAACCAACACAAACAAATGATCATTTCTAAAAGCAACCCTAATTCTAGAAGATTTAGGGAAATGGGTTATTAGGAAAACTATACCCTGGCTTTTCATTTGATGCAGCCTTCTGTTCCTATTACAGAGTTAGAGATGCAAATGACTAAACTGGAAGAGTCTGCAGTGCAACTTAAAGAAGCAACTGAGGTAAGCAGTTGTTGGGGAGTGGCTATGTGGATTCCTGTTGCTTCCCTCCCTGCCCCTGTGCTTTAAGTCCCTGCTTTGCAATATACAGTTCCCATGATATGTTTTGTGCTCATTCCTGTCATGCTTAATTAAACTGACCTTCCTTGTAACAGCATGGCATAGTTGAACTTAAAACATTACTTCAGAAGCTGACTGAATTGCTATTCTTTAATTCCAAGAAAATGAATACCCAGAATGAAAGAATTCAAGAGCTAATGGACATTGTGGAGCAAAAAGATGATGTTATTACAAGACTACAAGATTTGATAACTAACTTAGAAACAACTGTGAAAGATTATGTAAGTCTTAAATATCTAAATTTTCATTATACAAAAAGTTCATGCTTACAGTGGAGCTCTTGGTTTTGGAAAGTTGACACTTTAATGAATATTTTTGTGAAATGGTAACAAGTGAGTTGACACTGAAACCAGACTTCTTGTGAGAAGTGGTGAGAGGAGAAAGATGGGACTTTCAAAAGCAGGGATCTGGAGACTTTATTGGGTAATTAGATATAAAAAAAAAAAAAAAAAATAGAGCCTCTCTAAAGAACAAGCTCAGAGCAGGAGGCTTTAAGCAGTGGAATAAGAGGTTCTGACAGTTTCTCCTGTCTGACCGAAAAGGAAGAATGAAGGAAGGTCTTGCTGCAGCAAGAGGATAAGTTTGAATGAAGTTAGAACAGTTAAAGTGAGAAAGCCAGTGACTGTGTTAAGTGACAAGTGGTGTGGGCCCTTGGGTGGGGGCAGGGGTGTGGTTCTGCTTCCCAAAAGAGCACTAGTACAAATGCTCAGAAGAGTGGATGGCTGGTGTGTTTCTGCTTTTGCTATGATTGATAAACTTTGGTTGCCCACTAGATGGTTAGCTGCTGAATGCCTTGGCCAAATGTGTATAGATTAAAAGAAAGGCACTTCTGGATTCTTTTGAGGCCTGATGTCAAGTGATCTAAAACAATTCAGAGAGCACTTAAAGAAATTCACCTGTTAGTGCTCTGATCACTTACTTTTTTTACCTGTAATACTTAAGGTCTTGAGCCTTTCTATTGTCCTTGTACTCCCCCTTGTTGCTCCATTGCAGCTTACCTTGCTCATGGTATGAATGTTCTAAGGGTAATAAAAGCTGTAATGACAGCCACCTATTACTGCTGCTCCTTCCAAGAGTAAGATTCCAACTCCAGTGTTTCCGTGTGACTCTTTAACATAACCTGAAATTTAAAACACTGCTGTGAGACTTAACTCTGTAGATTCCTGAAGTTATATGGATGAGTAATAGAAACTTGGAAATGCTGTCATAGCTAATAACTTATGGTCCTCTGAATAGTCAAACTTTTCTGAAGTCAAACTTAGTCCTAAGTATTGATGACAGAACTTAAAGTGCAACCTGGAAGCCTTTTATCTTGCATGATGAGTGTACTCTGTTCCTCTGCTCAAGTTGGTTAAAATATCAAACTTTAGCCACTCTGAAGTGATGAACTCATTCAAAAAGCATATAGCTCTACAGGTCAGCAGTTTCTTCAAGAAATTTTCTTAAAGTCTCTGTCAAATTATTTTAATTGTTTGGTTAAACTCCTTTTACATGGTGTGTTGTTTTATAGCTTTTCCAGCTACTCTTCTGCCTTCTGTACTGTGCTTTTTAGTACCTGAAAGGGTACCTGCTCTTACTTTAACAGGTATCTGCATGACTTGTATAGAGGCTGTTAGAACATATTATGCAGATGATTTTCTAAAAGCATTTGCATATTAAAGCTTAGTAAATCTTTTAGGTACTCACCTTGTAAAACTTCCATGTAACTGATGTTACTTTAACACAGGACAGCACGGTAACTACGATTAAAAGAAAACTGGTAGAGGAGAACTCTAAGAAAGTAACTGAAAGCTCCCAGCTCAAGAAATGTGAGGAAACTGTGTTGGAAGTAGGAAAAAAACGTTGCTTTGAAAATAAGCCTACTGTGGAAGAAGAGCCACCTACAAAGAAAGGTACAATTTCTACAACCACTGAACAGGAAATCTTCCAAAAAAACTTGATTCCTGTTCCAGAAAAGAAGCAAAAAGTTGTGAAGCGTAAATTTTATCATATCAGGAGAAAATCTACTATGTTAAATTGTACACGTAAATAACTTATGTAAATATTGTTTGCGGAAGGTCCATTCTTTTTATTACTAACCTTAAAATAAAAATCAGTTTTTAGATGCTGTTTCCTTTCTGCTGCTTTTCCTTATCTTGTGCTTGCAGACTTGTCTAGTTCTGAAGGAACCACTTAACAGTAGTTTCTGTACTGTATTTGCTGTTCTTAGTCCTCTGGGAGAGTAGTATTGCCTGCTCAAGTGCTTTAAAAACGGTAGAAGGAAGCATCAAAGGTGTCCGACCACTTGGTCAGTCATACAATATGTGTTGTAGAAACTGATGTCTCATTACAGGCAGTGTACACATCAACACTGGTCAAGATGGTGCTGACGAAGGGAAAACACTCAAATGCAATGAGTGAATGTAGATGTTAACTTCATATATAGGATGCTTTTGTTTAACTGTCATGTTTGCATTTCTGTCCTCCTGCTTTCCTTGCTTTACCTGCAAGTTAACAATCTTGTTGGAAGGGGATAAATACATACTTTGGAGTAAAGGATCTTTTGAGGATAAGGACTAGTTTTTTAATTAGTAAGGTTTCTATGGGTGAAACTTAACCATCTTGCTCAGGCCAGGCCCACAGTGTTATCTGCCATGTTTGCAAACCTTTAACTTGACATGTGAACATAGAGGGAATTCTGATCTTCCTAGAACTAAGGAAAAGAATATGTGAAAGGAGAATTGGAATTTCTTTCCCTTTGTTCTCTTACTACTGCAAAATAAATTCAAATAGAAAACCTTCTAGGACTTGCTGGGATGAGGATAGGAAAGGAAGCTTACAAATGAGCAGAAAGCCCTCTTTTATTAAAGGAAGAATATGATATGTTAAAGGGGACTTGCTAGATTCTTTTCATGGGATCACAGAAAACTGAGGCTAGGGATAGTGAATAAACTGAATGCAGAACTGATGTTGATTAGATCTTGCTGTGTAAACCCGCTGAGGTGGGTTTAAAATGTGTAAAAGTATTTCCCACACTGCGGGAAATAAACTTCTGGTATTCCTTGCCTGAGGAGGGAGGGAAAGCAAATGGTTTTAACACATTCAAACAATGATGAGACAAACCACCAACCAGCAGGTTCATAAATAGATACAGATAGTTACAAAATCTATCATAAATAGATACAGATGCAATAGATTCCCACCCTTTTATTTCCCCTTTTATGTGGAGATGGTCCTGTATAAACTGCCAGGGCTTGTCTTGTCCAAGTGTTGGACAGGGTATGTTGTAGAAGTTGAGGTCTCATTCCCTACAAACAGTATACAAATAAGTACTGGCCAAGATAGTGCTGGAAAAGGAAAAACGCAGGCCTTTTTACCTCTCTTTACTGCAAGAGATAAAATACTGGAGTAGGGCTGACAAGAGGTGTGACTAAAGGGGCACATCTGATGTTCTTATTGCTTATTTGAACAAGCCTGTGGTGTAGACTTGCCTGGGAGAAACTTCTGTGTCTATACTAGGCATGTCTTTCATTTGTCTCTACTGTCTTTGATTGGGATGAGTTTTGGATCCTTGCATAATCATTTACTACCCCTTGAATAAATGTTACAGAAACCAAAAAGAAGCTGATGGGAGACCCTTTAAACATACTAGATGATAGTGAATTGGCTATAGTCTTGTGCTAGAAGCCAATTTAAAAAAAAGTCAGAAATGTGATAACTTTTTATTAAGCAAGAAATTAAAAAGGGTAATTGCTGCTTAGCACCGAGATTCTTCCATTAGAAAGCATAGGTTATGGAGTCAAGTTAAATACCTGTTTCTCTTATCCGGGGCTATTGAAAGTATAAGGTGTCAGACTTTCTAACTGAATTGTTAGATGTTCTATAATAATGAATTTCTTCATAGAAGTTAGATACCAATGATCCGTAGGCAAAGACTATTTAGAGAACATAAGTTATCTTGGCCTGAAGTTAATATTTTGGACCATTCAAGTTTTAGAACTCTCTTGCTATGTTCTGGGTGTGGGTTTTGGGTTTGTTTCTCTGACTCCAGAAGCTTTTTATGCAGGAAGTCTTATGCCATGTGTCTTGCAGTAATATAAT